CCTTTCCCAGCCCCCAGCCCCCACTTCCCTCAACACCGGGGACCACTGGACCCCCCTTTCCTGGGCACAGGGACCCCCTGGATCCCCTATCCTGCCTCTCCCACTCTCAGCCCCCACTTTCCTTGAACCTTGGACCCTTCCCAGCTTTCCCAGTTCCACTCCCCTGACCCTTGGACCCCCCAAACCCTCCAATCTCTGTGACCCCCCCAGTTCTCCACTGCCTGTGCTTCCTGCAGGGGAGTCCCAGGCACCGGGAACGCCCTCAACCGCAATTCCTGGGCACCGGAACCCCCCTGAACTTCCATTTCCTGGCACTGGGACCCCTCTGGAACCCCTTATCCTGCACCAACACCCTCCTGCACCCCCTTTCCAGACATCCCGCCTCTCCCAGACCCCAGACTCAGCTTTTCCTTGACCCTGAGACCTCCTGGACCTCCATTCCCACCTTTACCCAGTCCCCAAAGCCCCCTTTCCTCAACACTGGCAACCCCTGGGACCTCTTTTCATGGGTACAGGGACTCCTGGATGCCCCATCCCACTTCTTCCAGTCCCTACACCCTCCTTTCATTGGCCCTGGGATCCCCAAACCCCCTTCCCAGCTCTCCCAGCTCTCCCAGTTCCCCGTTTCCTTGACTCATGAACACCCCCAGACCCCCCAAATCTCCAATGTCCCCCCAGTTCTCCACTCTCTGCGTTACCTGTATGTGGCGGTGACGGAGCCCAGCCCGGGGATCCCTCAATTCATGATCATGGGATACGTGGATGGGATCCCCTTCCAGCGCTATGACAGCGAGAGGCGCCGGATGGAGCCACTGACGCCGTGGATGGCGGCCGGAGCCGAGCCGGGATATTGGGATAGACAGACCCAGATCAGCGAGAAGACCCGACTCGTTGATGCCGAGAACCTGGAGATAGCACGGGGCCGGTACAACTGGAGTGGGGGTGAGTGGGGGGAGCCGGGGAATGGGGGGATGTGTGGGGCTGGGATGTGGATCCAAGGTGCTCCAAGGGCTGGGATGACACTCTGTGCGTCTCCATCAGACTCTGGGGCTCCATAGGGCTGGAATGGGGCTCCATGGGGCTGGGACACAATTCCAGGGGTCTCCATGGATCTGATCCCACCCCCCCAGGTCTCCACACGCTGCAGCGGCTTTATGGCTGTGACCTCCTGTCCGACGGGAGCGTCCGTGGATCCCATCAGGACGGTATCGACGGGCGGGATTTCATCTCCTTCGAGCTGGGATCCGGGAGCTTCGTGGTGGCCGATGGAGCTGCCCAGCCCACCAAGAGGAAATGGGAATCTGATGGGATCACGGTGGACTACTGGATACATTACCTGGAGAACATCTGTCCGGAATGGCTCTGGAAATATGTTGGATATGGGAGGGAGGTGCTGGAGCGCAAAGGTGAGAGAGACAGAATTCCCATGGGAATGAAAGATTTGGGAATTTGGGATTTGGGAATGTGGGATTTGGGAGGGTGGAACTGAGGAACGCGGGAATTCCCGTGGGAATTCTGTGGATGAATCTGAGTCATCCAACTCCCATGGGAATTCCATGATGGATTCCACTGTTGTCCCATTCCAGTGGGAATTCCATAGATGGATCTCACTCCAATCCCATTCCCATGGGAATTCCATGGATGGATCTCACCTTTATCCCATCCCAGAGCCCCCCGATGTCCACGTGTCCGGGAAAGAGGAACACGGGATCCTGACGTTGTCCTGCCACGCGTACGGATTCTACCCCGGGACGATCGGGATCAACTGGCTGAAGGGGGATGAACTGCGGGATCAGGAGAC